TGTACTCAGACCAGTAATATTTGGGGTCACAAGTTTTTGCCATGGAAATTTTGTGGGTCAGAAGATAAAAAGTTTGGGAACCACTGCTCTAGAGCATCCGTATATTAGTCCTTCTGAATCTTCACTAACAGGAAAACAGCATCCTCTCCCAGTGTTTAGCACCGGTCAGAACATCTGCTGTCAGTTCGGCAGCTGCTGGGAAACATCCTAAACGCTCAGCCGACTGGCCGTGGATAAATAAAGGTGTGTTGTTATACAGATGTGTGATGGAGAATAAATAAATGTACATTTGATCAAACGGTTATGGCGCAGTAAAGGTCACAGTGTGCCGCTACTTGCAAACATCCGTGTTCAATATTGTTCTCGCTGCGGCTCCAAAGAGCAGCCGAGACAGCAACAGCGATAAGGGAGCATTTTATTACCATTTATCTAAAGGTGCTCATTGCAAAGTCATGAATATCATTACATTTCCTTTTAGTATAAATCAGTTTTGTGAACAGCTATAATGCTTTTGTGTGCCTACGGAAAGAGCTGAAAAGACTGAAAAAAGATCAACATCCATGGAAAAGACATATGGGATCAGGAAGCGCATCCATTTTTAAACACTGGGGCATATTTACACTCAGATTTGTTGAGTTAAGATTTCAGATAAAAAGGCTTTTTTTTAAATGGCTGCACATTATGGAGCTCTGCTTCCTCGCTTGATCCCCTATATTTGTTCTCTTATATTTCCACCTAAATGTCTTCTGCAACACTGATTGCACCAGATTTGTTGACCAGACTGCAGCCAGCACGATGGCTTTCACTTATATTTCGGCGAAATATTTCAAGTACTTTGTTTAGTTTAGTTGCATATGAAAAACAAAAACTGCTGGTCTAAATGTTTTCACCTTCAACTTCAGGATGATCTTTTTTATGCTTGCTATTAGTCCCTTTAAGCTGCCTGTTCTTGGTCTGTACCTACTTTTCCGCATTACCCTTTTGCAGCCAGCATTGCAGAACTAATATTCTCCTGTGTCTATTGACTTTCACAAGCCTACACCTTCTCCAGCTTCAGCCTGTGTGTTTGCTCTATGCTCGGGTCAGAGTGTCCAAGCAAAGGGGCTCTGATCTGTGAAACGTTAGAAAACTGGTTTGGAGTCCGGGACGTCTGACAGTTTTTTTTTTTGTTTTTTTTTTGTTTTTTTGTTCTTCAACATTATTTTCTTTCATTTTTTATCACAATAAGCTAAAAATGAAGAAACACTGTAGATAAGATGTAAACATATTTTTACATGGCACTCCATCAGAGATAAAGGCTGTCAGTGGACATATGTTRGGTTAAAGCTCATAGATTTATTGCTTTCTTCTGTGTAAGATCACATATGTTTAGTTTATAAGAAAAAAAAACTCCCATCCACTAAGTTTTGATTTATAGTCCAAAAGTGAGCCTAGTGAGCTGTAGATACGGTCATTTGTGTGTAGATGTGAGCAGAAACTCAATGTAAAGTGTGAGCGTTGCCTTCAGGCACACTTGTTAAAGGAGCCGCCCTTCTTGACTTACCACCAAAGCCAACTTCCTTTAWATATTTCCATCACTCTGCACTTTATTTTTCTCACCTATTTGTGARAAAGGATATCAAATGCTCGAGCAAACCTGTGAAGTAAAATTAACATTTTATCTTACAATATCAATTGCTTCAAAAAAGAAAAAATCTATTTACAATCAGTATGTCTCCTCTCTTCAGATTCGATCAAACAAAATATTCCAGTTTTTATGTCTGTAGGTTTGACAGCATTTTAGAGAAAGTTGTTCTAAAATTACTATTAATTAGATTTATTCATCATATTTCTTTTTACGTAAAAAAAACATTGCAACTCATTTTGACTACCCACATTTCAGATTTAAAGCAATAAAAACATCCATTTTTGGAGTTTACATTCTTTGGAGGAATGTGATTCACCACCTTGTGTGCGAAAGTTTTAAACAAAGATTACGAGTGCCTGCATTATCTCAGTGCCTGGGAGGATGTGATATGATGACTCTCAGATATGAGCATACCAAACCTGAACCCACCATCTGTAAATCTTACTGAGTTATGTCTTTGTGTGTGTTTGCTAATGTTGATTCACTGTGGCAGCTATTTTGAACTAACATTTTAGACAACTTGTGCTGACTTGTGAAAAATTTGTTCTGCATGAATTGCTCAGTTATATGTCCATTCAGCTTGTTAGCATTACATTATTATAAGTCCAAAAGAGGCTTCCAGGACATCTTTGTATTCCACCTTCAGCGCAGTCATCTCAAGTGTCGGACAACATTTTCATAAGATGGCCTATAAATTGTCTAACATTTATAGTGTGACTGGACTTTTAACCCCAACAGTCAATAATCTYTAGATGCACAACCAAGGGCGAAACTTTAGGTCTATTTTTTATTTATTGAATCATTCAGGATATTTGGGGGTTAAATACATTGTAATGATTTTACTGTGATTTATTGTTTACTTTGTATTTACTCTGCACTGTTTCTGTTCCACTACAGTTCAAAATTTAAGAAAAGGCTTCCTTTTCCCCCCATAGTTTTTCTAACATTATAAATATTTTACATTTTTACATTGTAAATTTTAAAATCAGGTCAAAGTTACCAGAGTTGTAAAGTAACTAAGTATAAAAACTTAGGTAGAATTTTGGGTATCTGTAMTTTACTTGAGTAATTATTTTTCAGCCTACATTTTACTTCTACTTCCTACATTTTTACACAATTATCTGTACTTTCTACTACTTACACTTTTTAAAAAAGACAAGAAGTAGAAAGTCRTTACTTTTATTTTTGCTTGTTTTCATTCCAGCTTGTTATTTWAAAAAATAAATACTATCCATATAAATTGTGCCTCCTAGATCGAGTGAATTTAATTGTGGTTGAATGAGAAGTATAAATATATAAAACTCTGATACAGTATTAGTTT